GATACACACTAGTGCTCACGACTTATAACTGGTGGGAAAGAGATACTAACTGGTGCGCATGACTTAGTAACTGGTGGGAACGAGATACTAACTGGTGTGCACGAGATAGTTTTTTTTTCCATTTCATGTCCCTTTAGGGGCTCTGTAAAAAGCAATTCCAACTAGTTGGAAAAAAATATTACCATTTAATAAAGCAGGAAAGGATCCTATAAATTCAAATAACTTTAGAGCTGCAGCTTTAACATAGTGATGGAGAAAGTATTAATTAACAGATTAATGCAAGTTCTTGAACAGACAGAACTTATAATCTTTGTGGTTTCAGAACAGCTAGACTCACAGTAGCTGCATCTGAGTTTGTAATTTTATGGGGGGGAAAATGTGGTGTTTTTCTATATCGAAAGAGCCAATGGTTCAATGTGGAGAGAAGAACTACTAAAAGAGATGAAATGAGAATATGTGGAAGGATGTATAACTGGATATCAGGTTTCTTTAGACAGGGAAATAAGAGTTCAGGTTGGGGAGGGTTATTAGAGATTACAAGGTGGAAAATGGCACAACCACCAGGGAGCGCAATCAGTTATTCAACGTTCTGATTAATGGCGTCCTTTCAAATCTAGAGGATTGTATAAAATCAGCTCTTTATGCAGATGATGGGGCTACATGGATGAGTGGAAGAAATGTTTCACATGTAAAAACATCAAGGAAGCAATCAATCAAATAGACAAATGGTCAAATTACAGGAGTTTCAAATGATCAATAAGCAAATCCTGTTAAACGATTACAAATAAAAGAACAAAAAATATTGGAAACCTATTATTATATGGACAGGTTTACAAATAGAGTGAATTTAAATATTTAGGATTATGGTTAGAAAATTCATATAAAAATACACATGAAAGATTTGAAACAAAGTATAAGAAAGTAATGAACCTTATGAAAGCCTTGGCTGGAAATGACTGGGAGCTGATCACTGTTAAAGATCAGCATTAGATTTCAGATGGATTGTTATAGAGCAGCAGCTAATTTAACATTTCAAAAGGTGAACAGATTATAATCCAGAGCATTACAT